CACACACACACACACACACACACACACACACACACACACACACACACGCACATGCACTCATGCACAAGTCAGTTGGTAAGAAAACTCTCAAAATTTCCCAGCAAAAGGACTCTATGAGAAGATGGCCCTCTGTGAGCAATGAAATCAGATGAATATTCATGAGCAGAGGAGATGATCCTTCAGACGGCCCCTGCTGTTCATAATCATCATCATCATCCCATTTGAGATCCCTGATGCTTCGTGCCACCCCATGGGGTGCCTGCGAACCCAGAATTCACAGTCAGAGGTGTCACAACCTCTGGAGCCTGTGTGCCAGGCCCTAGGAGGAGCTCTGTCCTGGACTCGGTACCCTTTCAGGGTATGGGCCAACATGCCAGGGTGGGGTAGGGGTGCCTCCAACGGTAAAGGATTAGTCAAGGCCCAATATCTGCAGAAAGATGCCCAGCAGCCCCCAGAGGACCACAGTCTGGGGCTGCCGATTTTCATTCCAATGCTATGCTCCCTAGTGGGCAGGGAAGAGTTAATTCCATTTGTACAAGACCACACTCTATTAAGTGCTTGTTATAATGACATGAAATTCAACTATTCAGACCATGTAGAGCATGACATGAAAACTGGAAAAATCTAGTTTACTTTGAGTTACATTTATGATGTAGCCTTTGTGCATGATAAACATTGTGAACCCCAAACCCCATGAACCCCATGAACCCCAATCTGAAACAGAGTCTAAGAGAGAGACAAATGAAATTGGGGTACATGTGTCCATGATTTAATTTCTCAAAGTGGCTTAGCATGCATTGCATGGGAGTTCAGTTCAAAACCAGGTGTCCCTAAGGGGGCCAGTTTACAACTGACTCAGTTTGGGATTTTGGGGTACAGCCTTATATGCCCATTGAAGAGTAGGTGTTCCCAAGGGGGTGCCAATCAACCATGATTGGTTGACATACTAAGAGGTGGGTGGGGTCCTTAGATCACTCAGTCCACAGGGCCCAATATGGCCCACCATCAAAGGAAATACCACCCCCAGTCTTGGAAGTCTGTCTTCACCCAAACCTGAGTAGGATAAAATTAATTCAGGCCTACATTGGAGTTTGACCAAAATGAGATTTGATGCAATCTCATTATCAGAGATGTCCTTCTGAACAACTTTGGACAGAAGTCTGGGTAGGGTGGAACTCTGAGTCTCTAAGACACAGATTACCGAGAGAAATCATTTTTAACAACATGCATATATATATACATACATACCCACACAAATGCAAACACACAAACATGAAAAACAGTATAGCCTATTGGATACCACCTATAAGTCAGAAAGAGCTGGGTTCAGGCCCTGCCTATAACATGTACTAGCTATATCCCCAGAAGGAGTAACTTACTACTTTAGTACGGCAAACAACTCTGAACGACAAAGTTTTTGTTGTCGTTGTTCAGTCATGTCTAACTCTTTGTGACTCCATTTGAGGTTTTCTTGGCAAAGATACTAAAATGGTTTGCCATTTCCTTCTCCAGTTCATTTTACAGATGAGGAAACTGAGGCAAACAGAGTAAAATGACACAGCGGGTGTCTGAGGCTGGATTTGAACTCAAGTCTTCCTAACTCCAGATCTGGCACTCTATCCACTGCTCCACCTAGCTGCCCTAAGACCAAGTCAAAAAGCCTCGACCTTGCTTTAGCTTCCCACCCTTTCTCTAAGCCATCTCCTCACCCTGCGGCATCTAGAGAGCAATGGATAGAGTGTTGAACTTGAAACTAAAAAGAATTGAGTTTGAATTCTGCCTCAGACACTTACTAGCTATGTTACCTTAGGTAAATCACTTAGCTTTTCTCAGTGTCTGTTTCCTCATCTGTAAAATGGGAATAATAATAGTACTTAACTCCCAAGATCAAATGAGATAACACACGTACAGCTCCTTGTAAATTTAAAGTGCAATATAAAATGCTAGTTATCATCATCTTCATCATCATCATCACCATCATCATCAACATCATCATCATCATCATCATCATTACGCTGGACAGCCTCCTCTCCACCTTAAAGAAATTTCCATCTTGGTGAACTCCTCACTGTTTGAGACAAAGCTTCCAGCTATGCTTCAGTCTATCCTCAGCAGTCACCTTGCCCCTAGCACAGCATCCTTTCCCTCCTGGTCCCACCCTCTAGCTCTAGAACCCTGAACTATCCAATCAATTCTGCCATTGTACCTGGATGGGGTGTGTCAATCTAATTCCTAATGGCCCCACTCACCATCCCCAGCTTTCCAAAACAAAGCGCCCCTCCCTATCCCCTTTGTGTGTTGTATGCTCCATTAGAATGTAAACCCCCAGTAGGCTGGAGCTGTCTTCGGGGGTTTTTTTTTTGTATGTGTATT